TATAACATGGGTCCACGTTGACTTTTATTGTATGAATAAAAAACAAGACATTTTTTAAAATCTTCTTTTGTGCTTCACAGAAGAATGAAAGTCATACAGGTTTAGAATGACATGAGGATGAGTAAATGATGACATTTAAACTCACTTTCTGTACTGTGTGTGTGTGTGTTATTTATTTATTTTGATATTTTTGCTTCTATTGTGTAGGACAGTAGAGCCTGGACCCGATCTTGGGTTGCTTGAAGCTCAAACGGCGCCGAGAGGCGCGGGTAACCCGCTGAACCCCGCTCGTGATCGGGACTGGGGATTGAAACTATTTCCCATCAACGAGGAATTCCCAGTAAGCGCGGGTCATAAGCTCGCGTTGATTAAGTCCCTGCCCTTTGTACACACCGCCCGTCGCTACTACCGATTGGATGGTTTAGTGAGGTCCTCGGATCGGCCCCGCCGGGGCTCCTCGCGGGCCCTGGCGGAGCGCCGAGAAGACGATCAAACTTGACTATCGGGAGGAAGTAAAAGTCGTAACAAGGTTTCCGTAGGTGAACCTGCGGAAGGATCATTATTGTGTCGGCCCGGAAAAAAAGGCGAGCGGTCTCTCTGAGACGGGGTGCGGAGGCCGGGGGCTCCGGCGCGGCCTCCGCCCCGCGGAATGAAAGTCGTAACAGGAACCGTGGGCGAGAACAACCCCCCCCCCCCACACACACACACACAAATAATAGTAGACTACTTAAATGTCAGATATTGCTCTTCTTACCAGTGATGATAACTCTTAATTTGGCAGCTCCCTAATCTGCTTCTGGAAAACTGAAATATGTCTTGAGGTAGAGCGTCTTGATGGCAGATATATACGACTCTGGAGGCCATTCAAAATCCTGCTGTGCTACGCACATAGTTTTCCATTAAATGACATAAGTCCCAAATTGTTTATATACATAACTTCACCCTAGGCTGGAAGGTTGTGTATTGTTGCTCTTTAAGCAAAATATTTGTCTTCCTGTGGCTTGAATGAAGCATATATGCTTTATTTATAAAGCTATGATAATATAGATTGAAATTTCTCTTTTTATTTGCTCTGTTTTTTCAAACACCGAATTTCAAATTCATCAATGCCACTTTGTTTATCCATGAAGTGAACTTTTGCATGTTAGATGACTAGATTAAAACCCTCATCCGTCCCTCCCGAACCTATAACAAAAGTGTCCCTTGCGGGTCAAAATGACCCGAAGGCCAAAAATGACACTAATTTTATTTTTGGTCCAGAAAGCTTATATTGGAACATTTGTTTCAATATAATGTTCCAATATAATACCCAATGTTCCTGTGGCTCAGTGCTAGAGTGTTGTGTTAGCAGCGCAAAAGGTTGTGGGTTTGATTCCCAGGGAACACACATACTGGTCAAAAATGTATAGCCTGATTGCTCTGTAAGTCGCTTTGGATAAAAGCATCTGCTAAATGCATAAATTATTATAAAATTTTTCTAATTTTTTTATGTAGGTTTTTCTATTATTTTTTGGTGATTTTTATCATATTTACCTTTTATTCTGGGCATGTTTAAGAAAACATAAGCAAATAAGCACTTTTTGTACATTATTTCACCAAAAAAAACAAAACAAAGAAAGACAATTTCAGTCCTGTTTCATCAAAAACCAACAGATGGCCTTGGAATTGAGTCACTGAGTGTCTTTGATGCCATCTGGGCGGGGGAAAAATTACATAAAATTGGATTTTATGGTTACAGCCACTAGAGGGGCCTATAGAACCCTATGGAGATTTTTAAATGAGCAAAACAAGTGAAACATGAGAAATGAAAATTAATATAATCTTAAGGCTTAAATTTGGTTGTTTATGGATTCAAATATATATTGAAATATTACAAAATCAAAATTTTGTAAAAAAAAAAAATTTTTTTTTAAATCTAACTGAATTATAACCTAAACATATGCATATCATACAAATTCATAAATTATAAAAAGTATAAACTATAAAAGTATACTATAAAAGTATTTTGTAAAGATCTACACACATTTCATCTCGTGTGTGTGTGCGTTTGTGTTTTAATGAGCCTGTTTTGAATGTTCTATTGCACAACAACTGCAGCTATTTTCACGGAAATAAAGTTAACGAAAATCAAATACACTTTTTCAGTTTTTGCATTCTTGCTTGTGCGGTTAGAGCGACTGAGCGGAGCGAGCGTCCATAGAGCGGAAAACGTAGCGGAGCGTCACACCGCTCCGCTTCGCTCACATGCTCTGGTCTCCACCACATCACTGAAATCTAACTGTTAAGTTAAAAAAAGGAAAAATGACAGCAGAATCCCAGCAGAAACATGAAAAATATTACAATGTGTTCTAAGAGAGTGTGTGTACCATGTGTTTGTGCATGTGTATGTGAGTTTTTTTCTGCATTGGGGATATTCTGTAGTCTCAGCCCTTCGTTTGGGTATAAATCTTTACTGGATT